AACAATAACAACAAACACAACAACAACAACAACAACAACGCACCAACAACAACAACAACAACGACGGACAACAACATTCTTCTTCTTTTTCCATAATTAAAAGAACTTTAACAGTATTACGCAATGGTAATTGTGTGCACCACGCTGCATCATTTGTAAAATTGTGAGCTATGATATTTGTCGACTCGGATGTTGGCGTGCCACCTTATTCGACTTACATTTGCTTTATTTGCGTTGGGGAGTAAATTAAACATATAGTTTTAAGGTCGCTTCGCCCTAATACTACGAGGATGTGAATTCGAAATCGCTTGTACTTTCAATAAAAAGTCTCCGGCAGCGCTGCGATCTATATATATAGCACACGTATTAAAGCCATCACGTGTGTTGAGCAAGAGCGTGTGACGTTCGGCGCCCTGTTGGCGTGTCATTAATATATAGATTCTTCATAACAAATCAATGCGCTTATACATTTCTGTTTGGTAATATCGGGCGTATCGCAATGAATGTCTATATTAGAAAAATACTTTTGGATCTAAAATACTCAATAGTGACAGGATGTGCAGCTTCAGCTGAATAGACGATAATTATTAGGACGATCATGGGGAGGCGTGGCCTGTCTGCGCGGAATGGGGGGGGTTATACGTGTAGGGATAGCGACATGCTTCGAGCAAGGCCAATAATTCGGGTTTGACTTAATTAGCCTTCTGTACACATGGCACTGCATGACGATATTATGTCCACTTGCCACGCATTAAATTCTGAAAACAGCGAGGAGTTTCAAGATCATTGATAAATCAATTTATCATGCGACACAGCAGGCCGCATGTCATATAACGCTCCTGGCCTAGTGCTAACATATATAGTGTGTTACATAGAGGCTGCAATTTACCGCAACGAAAAAAAGTTCAGTTGTCGATTAGATTAAGTATACGGTTAATAACATAGACTTCAACCTTGTTTTACATTGCATCTCCACCACAAGAACACCTCGTTGCTTTCGCCTCATTACAATAGTGGATGCCTTAATCGTTCGTTAAGAGTGATGTAAATGTTTAAGTTTCAATTTAAGACGAAAAATCCATGGATGAAAAATTGTAAATGATGCGTGAATGTGCTTAAAATGCATCATACGAATCACCAGGTATGTTTCATTATCTATATAAATGATATTATATTGATTATACATTGGTATGTGAAATTCGGGCTTATGTGAAATGGATTGATTATTCCGTTATGAAAACGGCTTTTTGATTTGATATAACTAAGAGAGTGACCGCGCTTATATATATATACGAAGATCTATGAGCGACGGTTCGCTTAGGAGCATCAGAACTGTTATAAATTTTAGTATTAGGTGTGCTCACCTTTAGATAACAGCTATCTTAAGAAATCCTCTAAACCTATACTCCCAAACGCTTGTTATTTTAGAATTCCTGTTCGCCCCAAAAGAGTGAAAGCTGTTTGCCGTTGAAGCTTTTGTTTTAATTTATATAATATATAATATAGTATATATTAGGTGTATTACTATATAATATATATAT